CCTTTTGGATTGTCTGTGTTGTAGGCACTTGCCCTTAAGTGGTTAGTGTATAAATACATATAATTTTCGTGTAGGTGACAATGTCCAAAGGGGCGGCGCTCATAAGTAATATAAATGCTTGCATGACAGGTACTGCTTAAACACCCCCCCTCCCCCCCAAGGTGATGTGGCCAATAAGGTAGAAGCAGGTGTTTGGCACTCTAAGTGCTAGGAAAATTTTGGATGTGATATGATTAAAATATAAACTATCTTCTAACTCTATTTTGTATACTTTAGTCTTTTACATTTCTATCATGTATTTGATTAAATCTACAATGTAAAATTTGTGGGATTTACACTAGAAGGAAAGGTGGATCGAGGAAAGATGTACCCCTTTTGAGGTGAAGCCCAAAGATCTATTTGAAAGTTAAAGCTTGAAGACCCCCACAAGTAGAGTTTGTAATATATTAACTGGGTTGTATAATGGAAAGCAACTCGGCTACTAAAATTGTTTATAATAATTGGGACATTACTAGCACTTCTATTTCGGTTGATTTACATGTATATATTGTTTGTTTATGGGGTGCGCAATAGAACAACATATTTTTCCTAGATTTCTTCTATTATTTTATTTGGGAGTGGCCTGGACTTTGAAGCGATAGGCTCTTAGGACAAAATAAAATTTTTATCATTTAAAATTTAAATAAATTAAAATCAATATAGGCTCAACGATTTTCTAGCAAAAGAAATTTGCATGGCTCCCTTTCAAGGAGCCAAGTTTTCAATAATTTAAATTGAGCATGCATAGCCCAAATGTGTCTCATGTAAAAAAGCACTAACTTGAGGACTAAATAACAAAAAGTATGCATTCTGCATACCCTGCATAACTAAGTATTTTGGCCTTAAAGCCAAGTTGTAAGTCCTACCTTCCTAAACAAGATAGTCTCTCTACTCCACATTTGCATTGAGACCGGATAACATGATTTTAAAATCGATTAGGCGGATTTAGCTGGTAGCCTTTTCAAGGCAGGACAATAAATCCAAAGGTCGAGCAGGCTATGTCTTATGTGAGGTGTAGTTTGAAAATCCCTTTGCACTTCGTTAGACTTAGGTTTGAGGTACTACCCCTCAGTAGGTCCTCACCTTAGTTTTAGGATCCAAGACATTGGTTGATTATGATCACCCTCTAAGCCCCCACTTTCTGGGCAGTTCCTCCAAAATATGTTATTGGAATGTAAGCCCCAACCTTCTAATGAAAATGTCAACTTAAATAAAAAATTAGAGTTCAAAAATGAAAAGCCCAACAAAGGATAGTCCGAGCACCTCTGAGATTTCTCAAAATCAAGTCCTACTTCACCTCCTTTGGCTCTCATTTCAAAATATGATTCTATGTTGATCATTTCTTCTTTGAAACTCCTAAAGGTCAAAACCCTTTAAACAAGATTTTCAAAGATTTTCAAAAATCAAACTTTAGTCAATATCTAAATGACTTTCAAAATAAGAAAACCACTAGTTTAATCAAAAGTCTTCTCAAGTACCAAAGCTTGAAAAGCAATTAACTATAGGGGCAAGCCCCTATGAGACGTCTGTACTCCAGAAATAAATAAATCACATACAACCAAACATTGAATAGAAGAATCTCTGTTAAAATTGTAAATTTTATAATTGAGTCTATAAGGAAATGATATTTTTACCCTCCGAGGTAATATATCATCATTCTTATGCCGTACTCGATCATAAAGTATGCAATCCGTTCGATGATAACAAAAATTCTCTAACAAGATATGCTTAGCAGATATTAGCTAAACAATTTGTCAAAGCAGAATCTTTTTCCATGCATTTAGCTTAAAGTGGAAATCCTCTGTTGCCCACTACATTCCATTCAGGATTTGCAATATTCTATTTAGGACTTCATGTAATATAGCAACATGCTCCTTGCGTATTTGTAATTACTGCTTTTGTGCCTGGATTGTTTGATTTGACCAGCCACTTAACATTTCGTAACTTGCATAACTTCTAGTTTGCAGTTTTCATCAATATATTACATAAATTCAACGATTCTTATCTGTTGCAAGAAATGGGTTTTGACCCCATCTTCTACTAGGATATGCCCCAGATTTCTATTGATATTCGACAGTAAGATAATAATATTAACATGGACATTGGTTCTTCGTTCAACTTTCTCGGCTCTAATGAGATGTTACATAGTAGAGAAGGATTCTATATTTGCAATTGGTGAATCAAATTTTCTCCATATAGTCATGCTAAAAAGAATCCTCATATGTCTAAAGCAGCTCCACTGCCTTATAAATATAGAACTTATGGCTGTTAAAAAGGTTCCTAATACATATAAAAAACTAACATTAATAGTCTACTGAATAATATTGCTTCCATTTTGCATAAGTACTAATTGGATGTGATTGTTTCTAGCATGTTGCAATTGGAGATAGCCTATTTCTGTTGGAAGTTATCTTCTTGTAATAGTGCAAGGCTTGAATTGTAATTCGGTGATTTCTTTCCTGTGCTCTTTTCATATTCTTTAATTTTAGTTGTGATTTGCATGTGTGATTAAATATTGTCAAGGGTAAAACAATCTAAATTTTTTTCATAGAGTGAGTTTAAGATCAAACATACGACTCTTTTATGATCCGTAATATCCATACAGGATTTATGTTAAACAATGCTTAAATAATCATTTGTCAAGATTCTTGCAAATTTTTTAATATAAACTAAAGGGACAATTAACTTTCTATAAAAGTTCATTGCGTGCAAATTTGACCTTGCTCGCCAAATTTTGTGAATCTCATCTAAGATCTGTATCAAAAAAAAATCATAGACCCTAAGATGTTTAGATCAACTACATAACTAAATGATGATGAATATTCCTTTTTTGGCTTTATAAACTATACACCAAATCCTTTGGAAATTTTTTAATACAAATCTAAACAAAAAAGAAAAAATGATGCATCATAAGTCTAAAAACTTAGCACATTTGGAAACCAGATATATAACAAAGAAATAGGACAAACCTATGAAGCACGTACACCTACACATGAACACAAACACAACGAACACTGCGACACAACATAACAATAAAAAATAAGACACAACATGCCATGGACAGAGTTATAGTTTATAAATGATAAATATAAAATATATAATTTCTACTATTATCTATTATAAGGAATCACAAGATAAGGTATAATATCATAAAAGAAACTTTATAATGCTAAAAAAATAATTACATTTAATATAATAAAAATTTTACTCAATAAAATGTAGTATTAATTATTAAAAAATGCATAATTTCAACTTTTTTATAAACATAAACTATTCATCCAAGCCTAATATGGTACGAAATACAGAAACTTCTAAATGCCTTCCGCATCAATGCTGATATGGGCACGCCTTCGACATGTGTCTGAAATTGAGTCAAAGTTATTTAAGTGTGAAACACAATCCCGAAATAGGTAGAAACTGTTTGGAAATGGTTTGCACAAGGGCCCATAGGTAGAAACAATATTTGAGCTTTTGTCAAAAGCGCCTATCTACATTGCCAATTAGTAATGAGTTGGGATCCTATTCCCAACCGTCCCGTAACACTTTGATCCAACGGCCAGGATTGGAATCCGTGGGAGACTCACCTGGATCACGCCAATCTCTGTTAAATCCCAACCGTCCCTTGACACTTGATCCCACTGCCAGAAAAGGAATCCTTGGGAGGCTCACCTGGATCATGCCGATCTCCTTCCATATTTGAGTGGCAGATTTAGGAAGGACCCTATTAGTACAATTATGCATTATTCTCTAATTATTTGTTTCCTTATTAACATATCTTGTATAGATTTATAAAAATGGATAGTTTTGTGTAATAAAATTAAGCATTTTTCCTCTCCAATTATCTGAAATTTAACATATTCAATAAAGTAAAATGCAAAAATTAGGTGATTTTTAGTTAGTTATTTAGTTTTTTCCAATTTGATGAAAGATACTAAGAATACATAGATTAACTACAAATACAACATGAATGACACATGATAATGTTAATGAGCCCTACAAATATGCATAAAACATGTATAAAATATATTGTAACACTTTGATGTCATATTAGGCTTGGATGAAAAGTTTGTGTTGATGATAAGTTGACTTTTCACTATTTTGTGTCATAATGAATAATTCATTTGACTGAGTAATATTTTATTGTATTAAATGTATTTTTGTTTTTATTAATCTTATGATGCCTCAGTAGAAAATAATAAAAATTATATAACATTGAATCTATGGCATGTCGTGTCCAACTTTTTGTAGCTAAGTCATATCGTATCATATCCTCGTGTCCATATATGTGCTTCATAGCTAACACGTCATGTATAGTAATGTTTTATAAATGTTGTATGACATGTATAATAATGTTTTTTATAAATTTTGTATGTACTCATCTATGTATTCTTAATATACTTCAATAAACTGGAGAAACTAAATCATAAAATAAAAATCACTTAGAACTTTTTTATTTTACTTTATAAGATAAAATGGATAAACTCCTTTGCCAGTAGCTCAAATATTGCCTTCATATCATGTCCCACCCTATTCGTGAACTTTTTCTCTAAGTAGTTTCAACAATAGAACCATTGCCAATGATCCCACGTTTCGGTAACCCATGCTTTATGAAGTTTTAAGACAAAGTTCTAAAAATTTGACAGGTTTACATTTACCACATCAACCAAATTAACAGCAGTTTAACAGGCGGATTTTGGAATTTGTAAGAAGTTTAACCGCCACAAAACGTGAAAAGGAATAATGTGATCACCCATCTGAGACATGAATATGGCTTTAATCAAAAAAATTTTAGCATGAACGACAGAATATTAGTTTTGCTCAATCATTAGTCAATATGATGCGTACTAAAGATTCTGATAGGAAAACTCGTGGTTAAGAGTTTCAGCCAAGTCAAATAAATAGTAATTGCTCAGCTATAAGTCATACAACAAATGTACAATAATTTTCACCATGGTGCGTACAGTTTTGCATTTTTATGAAGCATAGGTAAAATTGTCTGCACAATAATTTTCACCATGGCAGAGTTAGAAGCCAGAGATGGAAGCACTTCCAGAAGATTGAGCTGCAAATAGGAAATGGTATAGAATATGTATAAGCAAATCAAATAAATTGTCTTGACTAAAATAAAGGAAACTAGATTCAGAATAAACGCTAGACGCCAACATTCTTGCTTCTAAAGAGAAGAAAATAAATGAAGATTAAAGAAAAGAAAAAGGATAATAAATTTTCAATGTTACATCAAAAATTAGAGAAAGAACAATAGGGTGTAAAAATTTTTAGCGTCAATTCAAACTTCATGCATGAATATTATCCGCTTATGTACAGCATTCAGAGACTGGTACCCTGGCAGTTACAGGGCAGAGGGATGTAATGAACACCGCAGCAAGAGACTGAACATCAGTAAAACATTTTTTCGCAGATAATGACATCTACAAGAACAGCGACTGCCACGGTAATAGAGCTTTCAATGGTCAATATTTCTAAGAAAATTGTCAAGGTAATAGATCTTGCCATGGAAAATAGTAGTAAGGTTAACAACTATGGTGCTGTGAATCAAAAACAGCAACTGAGTTTGTCAACTCATAAGACAATGCAATGGCAACACGAAATCCCAGTTATCTTCATAATGAAGTTTATAATAGTCATAGCATCATTTATTATCTAATTGTTGACTAAATAACTATTGTATTTCTTGGCACCTTGTACCCTTTCACCTTGAGTGTGAAAATTCATTCTAGAAAAGGAGTAGAATAACTTTGGAGAAATGAATCAAATTGATCCCCTAACTTTTTCTGAAGAAAAAAATAGTCATAGACTAAATACCAATTTGATCACTTCACTTTTTAAATAGAGACCAAATTAGTACTTCCATGAGATCATTTAGATCCCTGATTAAAACGTAAAGGGGGCAAAATGGCACTTTTAAATAGTCAAGCCTTTGTGTTAGGAGACCATTTTGATCCTTATCTCACTAGCTTGGATTCATTTCTTTTTTCATTAGATTTTAAGAAATAATAAAAAGAGCATAACATACAAGTATTTTTGAAGAATTTCTCTCAAATTTCAATAGAATATTAATATAGAAGAGAGCAGCTTGAAACATTGTCATGCCCAGTTTAGGGTTCTGAACACCAAGGGCAACGAGGGGATCAACTGCAGATGTGTCAAAAGCAGGAGATATAACTAAACTGTAAGCTATTGAGCCTAGCAATATATTCACCCCTGCAAGAAATTAAACTGATGGCATTAATTCAAAGTATACCTGACAAGCTCAAACAGATATTGAAAGATGAAAACTGCAGTAGCTGGTCCTTGAAACATGTTCAATTTCAAATCAATAAAAGCTGTCATACTAAAAAATATGAGAAGCACACCTTCATAATGGCTTTCTGATGATTGAGGAAATGTAGTTTTCTCCCTCTCAATAGTTAATAGATGCTCCCTTAACCATGACGTCCAGTATAATGGTCCACAGTATTTTTCATTGTCACAAGTGATCTTATCACTAGTAAACAAAAAGAAATAGGAACTATATGGCAATTGTTGGCCCTGAAAATTAAAATGCCAAATAAAGAGCCAAAATGAAAGTGTTTCAAAAGATATAGAAAACATTCCAGTAATATAAAGATATTTTGCAAAACATTAAATGCAGCAAGCACGAACATCAACATGCCGAGAAAACTGCATATCAATTTAACCACAACAAATAAAACTTGAAGTTGACAAGAAAATCCATGTTTAACATCCAAAGATAATGATTGAAAATTGTAAAGAAAAAAGGAAAAAAATTCAAGCATCTAATGGATACCCATAAGATGCTTAGGTGGATGAGTGGCTTCACTCTTATAGATAGAATGCGAAACGAATATATAAGTGAAAAGGTTGAAGCAGCTTCATTGTCAGATAAGATTAGAGAGAGCCGCCTTAGATGATTTGGTCACATAAAATGTCGACCTTCTAATGACGCGGTTAGGAGAGTAGATGTTTTAAATTTAGCCTAAGTTAAGAATGGTAGACGTAGGCCTAAAAAGACTTCATTAAAAAATATTAAAAATGATATTTTTTTTATTAGATTTAAATGAGAGTTTGACTCTTAACAAGACACAATAGATAAAAAGGATTCATGTAGCCGACCTCACAGTGGAAGATAAAGGCTTAATGATATTGTTGCATAATCTTATGGATACCCATAAACCAATACCTACCATTTTGATGTATATTAACTTTTCAATTTCTACGACTAAAAATTGGCTCAGAATTCTACCAAGACAAAATCTTAGCAATTCAATATAAACTTTTGACCTAAGCCATTAATGTGCTCTACTCAATCAATTAATTGAATAAAAAAAAACTCTTAACAGAATATTTTTGTTTTAATAGCCATCGAAAAATAATATTGAGTAAATCCTAGACATTTTTTAAGTTACATTTTCCCATTACCCTGATTAAATAATTGATAACTTCCATTATGACCATCCCAATAGATGCTCAGCTTCCAATCACCTATTTCAATGGCACTTTAAATGATGCTTAATGAAAGAGCACATAAAATATGGTGCATGCACATCAAGGGGTTTACCTGTCTTAAGGCCGGTCCAGTTCATCCTGAAAATCGTTTATGTATCAAGCGAGACTTAATAGGCCAAAATCGTCGGTTCAACTAGTTAACCGATAAACCATTTTTGATTCCCTTGAAACCGGCCGATTCAATTTCTTAATTATTTAAATAATTTGATACATTAAAAATAAAATAATAAATAATATTTGTAATTTAACAAATTCATTTAAATTTAAAATGCCTAATTTAAAAAAAATGAACTAAATATTTCATATGGCTTCATTACTCCAAGTGAGTTCTTACCTCATCTAAACTCAAAAAGCAACATAAAAATTATCAAAGGGAAGTTTTCAAGTGATGTGGGACTAAATAAGTTGAAGTTCTTACTTCTTAAGTTTACAACATATACTATATATTTTAAAACAGATTTTTAAAATCAACTTTTTCTGATGGAATTACGTGTTCCAATTCGACCTTGGTCAAGCAATTTAACCCTGAACCTCTCCTTCTGGTTCTATGTCCGATCAAGATTTCACAACATTACGCAAGTCTTTGTGATGAACCTAATTGGGGAAAGAAATGGCTTAGTGATGACCTTTATTATCATGAGAAAATAGGATGTTTTGAATATTAGATTAATATAACTGATTAGATGAGCCCAAGGAATTTGAAAAACAAGTTAGCTTAGGATGAAATCCAACAAGTTGAGTGCTTTGGGATGCTGATTGTCTTAGTATAGGTTTTATGGTCTTCCAACGAGGTAGATGTTATATATTTAATAAAGAAAATGTTATAATTTTCTTTTTTTTGAAAATTTGGCAACCTCCCAGCATCCCCTCCCCGCAAGAGGAGGTAGGGAGGGCATTTGCCCTTTCAATCCGCCCAACCGAATGAAAAAGTTGATGGCTGAGCCGCTGAGGGCTGCAGGATGCTGATTGGTCTGAGTATGAGTCTTCAAGTCTTTCAATTTGCGATTGCAGCACCTGTTTTTTTTTTTTATTATTATAAATTTTTATATGTATTCAAATATCCCTCTCCACACTTATATAAGTATTCAAACAACGGAGTGTCTACGAATACGTAGTAGTGGGATTTGGTGTAGGAGGCAGACCCTATTGTAGATTGTGCATGGTGATCAGGCTAAAGTGCAAACAGGTTATGCAGTCGGATAGGCCGCACGGGACGATCTCAAGTGGAGCGGAGGCATAGGTGTTGGCGGACGAGAGGTACTCGCCCAAGTTTGTTCTCGAGCGAGACAGATGAGAGGCGAACTGAATAGCATGGTTCGTGCAAGTGTCACAGGCGGGTTGACGTTGAGGGTTGGTGCCGCGGTTCGATCACGGGCGGAAGGAGATGCGGACTCGTGTCACAGTTTGGTTGTGAGCAGGTCACAGGAGAACGGGCTGAGATCAGGTCTCGCGGGATCGAAGGTCGCGTAGATGAGTGGAGACAGGAGCGTGGATGAGTGTTCAAGCTGAGGGCATGAGCCAAGGCTGAAGTGAGATCGAGCCCTAGAAACAATGCATGCGCAGGAGGTGTCAAAGTCGATGTCTTGCTAAGGACGAAGGAGGCTGAACCGTGAGCGGGATTGGATTGTGCTTATGTTCTTCAGGACGGAATGAGTGTCAACTATGCTTGCCTCCTTCAACTGAACTTATTTGACGTCTTTTTTGTTTTGTAAAATTGTAAGGCCGCGTCGCTTAAATGAAACAAAGTGTCTCTTTCATTATTATTATTTTTATTATTTCAACAGATACTTTTAAAACTATAATGTAAGCACAATGAGGGAGACAACCCAACACAAAGGAGTTTATGTATCTCAAAAAAAAACATCTATTCTTGAGACGGCCATCTTTGATGTAGGATAACATAAGTGATTAGACTCCAACTAAATAGTTTTAATTAGATATCATTCTTTCTTTTTTTAAGACTTCAAATCTTTTAAATTTCCATTTTTAACCATATTCGCAAAAAGAATTTCATATAAATAAAGGGGAATTCTTATTTATATATTAGGATCCCATGAAACCCTTGCCCTCATTTCTAGGAGAATATGTGGATTCCATGGATCCTAGCTCTAGGTCCAGAAAATAATAAAATCTTAACGCGTGGATTGCCCTCGTCAAGGAAGAGCTGTCTTGTCAGCCCGACCGACCCACCCCGCCCAAAGAAAGGTAAAAAAGTTGAAAATGATGGAAATTTTTCACTTTTTAAGCATCTATTTAGTTCTCAACTTCCGACATTCACTATTCTCCAAAGCTCTAGCATTCGCTTCACCTTGGAACTTCCGGAATTCAATCAGTTTTTATCTACACAAATGACTTCACAATCAAAAAAGGTTAGTTAATTGTTTACTTGTCTTGATAACTGCATATGAACTGTGTTTTTAGTTCTGCATTTTTATTGTGTACTTAAAAAATTTTTGTATTTAGCTAGTTCCTCTTCGATTTTTTTAGGATTTAGGGTTTGTATTCTGTAAAACTGCATGTTGGCTACTGCTAGTTAGGGTTCTTCGTAGTTTCTATGTATGAACTATTTTTATAATTCTGCATTTTTATTGCTTAACAAATTTATATGTTTAGCTTGTTCCTTATCAACTCTATTTAGGGTTTAGGATTTAGGATTTGTCTTCTTCTTTAAAATTACATGTTGGTTGCTTCTAATTAACGTTTTAGGAATTTCTGTCCATTTTCTGTGTGTATCTTCAGAGTATTTTCTTCATATTTTCTGTGTATTTTATGCGTATCTTCTACATATCTTCTGTGTATTTTCTGCGTATTTTTTACCTATCTTCTAAGTATCTTCTATGTATGTTGTGTATATTTTCTGCAAATCTTCTGTGTATCTCCTACATATTGTATGTATATCTTCTGTGTATTTTATGTCTATCTTCTGCTTATTTTTTGCTTATCTTATGTTTTTATTTATAAAATTTTTTAGGAATATATTCAGCCTCTCACTTTTTGATGCTATGTATCAACCTTCCAAACAATCTATGATTCTTTCATGGAGAAAATACACCCTGATGTGGAGGAAACCTTGAAGAGATTTGTTACTTTGAGAGGAACGAGAAGGGAAAAGCATGAATTTTATTATGCAATCTACTCCCTATTTATAGATCTATACAAGGTGTATTGATAAGGAAACAAATAACTCTAGAATAATGAGAATACAATCATTCCTAAATCAATAAATCAACTATGGAAAGAATTAATGTGATCCAGGCGGTCTTCCCATAGATTACTGTTCACAGCCGTGGATTCTCTTTGGATCGTGAGGTTGAGATTTAACACTCCCCCTCAAGCTGGGAAATATGAATCTGTCATCCCCAGCTTGTCAATCATTTGAAGAAAGGCAGAACTGTCCAATCCTTTAGTAAGAATATCTGCAAGTTGATCCTTTAATGATACATAGTCGACACTTACTAGACCACTGTCTAATTTTTCTTAAATAAAATGTCTGTCCACTTCTGTGCCCTTGGTCCTGTCGTGCTGGACTGGATTGTGGGCTATGCTGATTGCTGATTTGTTGTCACAATGTAGCTTCATGGGCTCATCCCACTTAACCTTTAAGTCTTCTAGGATTATTTTGATCCATAGTAGCTCACATATTACCAAGGTCATAGCTCAATATTCTGCTTCTGCATTGGATCTTGCCACCACATTATGTTTCTTGCTTCTCCATGTAACTAAGTTACCTCCAAGAAATGTGCAACACCGAGAGGTAGATCTTTTATCTACCGGTGATCCTGCGTAGTCAGCATCCGTGTATACTTCTAGGGTTATTCCACGATCTCTCTTAAAGATAATTCCTTTTCCTGGTCTTCCTTTAAGGTAGTCCAATATCCTGTCTACCACTTGCATGTGAATCTACTTTAGATTCTGCATAAACTGACTGACCATACTTATAGCAAATGCTATGTCTGGTCTAGTGTGGGAGAGGTAGATCAATTTCCCTACAAGTCTCTGGTAGGCCCCTTTATCTACATCTG